TCTAAAATCTGCCAAAACTCTAAAACTACATTGACGCAACGTATCACGTATACGATACGGATACGGGATACGGATGGGAAAAATCCGCTTGCCAAAAGTCTCTATTGTGTCTGAACAGAGCCTAGGTGACTAGATGATTGGTCGTTTTCTATACTGATAATGATTTCTTGTTGTTTGCCGAAGTCGAGGGGGAGAACGCACGCTTGCTGTTGATGACAATGTCTGACAGTCTGCGACAAATCATAAACTGTTTTGTTGAGTTTTAGTTGACTGTAAATAAATGTTGACTGGTCGCCAATGTCCGCTTTCTTTGTTATTACTACGTAATAATTGTCGTCTGACGTCACATCGTATTCGAGATCAAAGATTTCCTTAAAATTGCATGTCTCTTGCAATTTGATGTCAATGGATTTTGCTCTTGCATAATGCATGTTTAACCAGTTCTATTACATATGTGATAATGACTGACGCCAATATTGTCCTTTAACATAGTGATCCATTCATGCTATCCGCAGACATGGGTCAATGGGTCATATGACGTTTATTGTGTAAACAACACTAATTTTGATTAAAATAAGTTTAATTCTCGACGTTTTAAGTAATTGAAACCAGTGCCGGAAGTAGATAAAGAGAGGTTCTGAGTTATTCCACTTGCGACGAGAGGCAGCAGACACGATTGAGAAAAGCCGAGGTAGATAAATGATGTTTAAGATTGCTGCTATGCTTGTAAGAAATGTTCAAGACAAATATGGGTAAGTCCGACACTGCTAATAGTAAATCAGGCACTACTGATGAAAACATTAGTTATATTTATCTTATTTACGTTATAACTTGAGTTCCGTAGTTTATTTTGAGTCTATCTATCTCTCTATCTGGCTCTGTATTTATTTACACAGCGATTAGACAATATGACATCAATGAGTGAATGGTTATGACACATTTTATCACATGGTGCTAAGATGTATGTTATCGATGATTTCACCTGCAGTAGCTACAAAATAAAACACAGTGTAAATAATATAATTCAATGATAACGGTTGTCGTATACGAGACAGGGTGTGCTTGAACTTACGTGCCTCATTATTTTGTTTTCTAAAGTTGACATTCGGTTGTAGCTCATGCTAGCTTTACTGTTGGCTTTATGGGACTGTGTCTGACTCGTGCCTTATAAAACGTCTTTTTAATGGACCAGACTGTCGTGAGCCAGTGCTGTACTCCATCGATTGTCTTCACAGAACACATACAAGCATTACAGAGATGGGCCGAGAAGAAGTCTGCGGCTGGGGTAGGATCAGGGCCCCTATAAGTATACATACATTCATATTACATTAATATGTGCTTTTGTGACCATTTTTGTCTATTTCAAGGTTTAACAAAATAGAGCCATACACCCTTTAATAAAGATCCTGGCGTGATTGTGTTAGACCTAGGTATCATTTGGCGCCACCAAGCGTTTGGCCCACACTCCGCGAGTGGGTTTGCAGAGTCCGTTAAATTTACAGACTTGTTGTAATTAAGTGACATTATTCAAATAAGAGTGAATTGAATTACAAGGGGATGACTTAAGCCACCCTGACACTTTCACGATTTTCGTTCCTGCAATGTCGCGTACTTCGGCGTGTCAATGATTAAAGTCTTCAGGAACGTGTGCGAGGAGTGTGGGAAGAGTGCGGGCGTGCGTGTCATGCCGTAGCGAGAATTTTAAAATTTTAAAAACTTCGGCACGCACCCATGTTCGTGCCATGTGCGTGCGACTTGCGTGAACCATGCGTTAATACAAACTCGACTCGAACACGGTGCGTATCAATGCGTGCGAGTGCGTGAACAGTACTTAACCTATGCGCATTGCGTAGACAGTGTGTAATTTATTCGTGTACAATGCACAAACACGACGGCGCAAACACGGACTCACGCGAAATGGCACGCCTTGTGATGACAAAAATCGTACAAGTTTGAGGGTGGCATTAGTATTAACTAAACACACTAAATAAAATTCAACAGTTTTTTCACTAAGATGAGTTGCGTAAGTTGTTTGGCTTGTTTGAACCCAAGCAAAGCGTTTGATATTTAAAGGCTCAATACCACTCTTGTTGTAACTGAATAATATGTCCCAATCTTTATTCTGGTCAACAAATTGTACTATTTTACAATATTCCAATTAATTGATGATACAAATTTCATCTTAACACACCTTATTTAAAAATTTTGAAAAATTCAACATAATGGTTTGAAACGTCTAACGTAAACCTTTTCAAATGAAACTTCGATTTAAAAATATTTTCGAACCCTCTGGACAAGTAAAATAGGATGTAATGGATAATTTACACAACAGGTAGGACACTTAAACATCTAGTACTTAGATAGAGATATTATTTATTTTCTGGAGCTTTCAAGCCAGCAAGAGTGTTATTGTCCCTTTAATGTAATGCTTCAAGATCACGTAGACCTCTGACCGTTCCTATTCGTCTCTATTGAGTTGCAATATGAAAATACCGCTCTTAACCACCGCAGTTCTAGGGCACCCTTCTATTGTTTACCGCGATTCTTCTTTTTTCGCCAAAAGGAATCATTTTGCGATTAAAAAAACATGCGATCTGCTCATGTTCGAGTCTCGTAATGGCGGTTATGTTCTTTTAATCGTATGAGCGGGACCGACCAATGGAGATATTTGACCTACTCAGAATGAGACAGTCCCAGCGTTTGCCAACTCGGACGATTTAGTATTGCTGTAGGGCAATGACAGACCTTATGATACAGCGCGCCAGTGCTAACAATGGGGCCATCCAACCCCCGGGGGTCATGAGGAACAGTTTGATAATAATCTGTGCTTGTAATGAAGGTAGGTACTGAAATATACATTTAAGGTGGATTGGGCGTGACCGACCAACTGCGACCTCTGACCTACACAAACGTGGGTTAATCACTCAAATGGACTACACAGAAAGATTTATATTGTCACAGGAGATCCTAAGGAACAGGTTTCGGGGATGTACTAGAGATGTCTTACAAAACCACCAAGTTTTGCTGTAATTTAAAAATCGCCACCTTGTGGTGTCCCCAAATAGATATCTACTAATTCCAGTCCTCAAACTTGTTTGTACTCGATCGAGATGTTAATTAAATATTTGCTAGTTCCCAGACTATGACAATGGAACACCGTGCAGACTGGAAACTCCCAAGGAACTTTCTCGGATAAGAAGAAATGATGGACAAGAAAACCTAGTTGAATTTATGTTATTGATAGTGATAAGTTATAGTTCATGGGTCATTTTAAGTTATTAATAGTGATATCATCATATATATACATGATATATAAACCTAAACTATAATTATCAATACGTCAGTAAATATAGATAAAACAGTATTAACTTTCATTAACAGAGACTTTGAAGGGGTGTTCGTGCTCAATGTCAATATCCTTACGACCCGATTCGTAGATATATCGTAGATATTCTTGAAGTTCGTAAGTGATCCTTATTTGGTTCTTACACGTTCGTAACAGAATTCGGCATATTCGTAAGCAATCAGACATATTCGTTACTCATTCGTAATGCTAGGTTCCCACTGTCGTGGGATGCGTTACGATAGGATTGGCCCTATCCGGTACGTGAAGATACGTTTCGATACGACCAACACGATTAATTACCACGACTGACCTCAATATATAAGACCTGATAGGATCACTACGATTGCTCTACGATTAAAACCACGATTTCAATCTTAGAGTGAATCGTGATAGCGGGAACCTAGCATCACTGACTCGCTACAATTCGCAGATGATTCTTTCATTTCGCACCTTTATCGTAACCCTTTGATATTCGGCATTTTTTTCACCCAATTACCGTGACGCTTTCGTAAACTATTCGTAACTGTTTCGTATAACTACTCCCGATTCTCTTTTATTGCCGAATAGCAGGATTTCGATTAATTTTGATTCGCCACTATTCGGGGCGATTCGTGGCATTCGTAACCAACGTGAAAGCGGGGCATAAAGATGTGTCACTAATATAACTATAACTAAATCTGAAATGGGTGCTTCGGGTGCACGGTTTAATTTGGCCCGTGGGGGACTACCGCTCTAGGGGGGGGGGGGGCTTCTATTGGATATCCTGTTTATAATTTGTGCACAAATTTAGCATGTGACAATCTTACAAGTTCAGAAAGTAATGACTTAAATTAATCAAAAATGACGTATAACAAAGAATAACAAGTACGATCGTACTTCTCTGTCCATGTTGTTGGATGACATTCAAAAATCAAATTCAAAGAAGGTCCATGCCAATTTTTATATCAATCGGACTTGAATTGAATGAGCCTTAGGCTTTTTCGAAGAGCCTCACCCCAACAAGAAGAAGAAAAACAAGATGAGTAGCGGTTAGCGACCAGTGTTCCTGGTCCAAAAACTGCCCCCAAAACTCCTTGAGAAACATTAACTTCGATAGGGGCCCTGATCCTACAACACCCGCAGATCTCGACTAGCCCTGGGGTGCTTGTATGTGTTATGGGAAGGCAGTCGATACTGGCTCACGACAATCAGATCCAGACCCAGTCCCGTAAAGCCAACAGTAAAGCCAGCATAAGCTACGACAGATTGTCAACTTTATATAAAACAAAAACAAAGAAATGAGCCACGTAAGATCAAGCACACCCTTTCTCGTATACGACAACCGGCACCACTGAATTATATTATTTACTCTGTGTTTTATTTGGTCGATACTGAAATGAAATGAAATGAAATGAAATGGGGTTTAACGATTTCCTCGATACATGTGACCATCTCTTTAAAAATCACTGATGACGTATATCTTATTCTTAGCATCATGTGATAATATACGTCATTGATGTCATATTGCCTAATCGCTGTGTAAATAAATACAGAGCAAGATACAGAGATAGATAGACTCAAAATAAACTACGGACCTCAAGTTATAACGTAAATAAGGTAAATAATTTAATGTTTTCATCAGTAGTGCTTGATTTACTATTAGCAGTGCCATATTTACCCATTTTTGTCTTGAACATTTCTTACAAGCATAGCAGCAATCTGAAACATCATTTATCATCCTCGGCTTTGCTCAATTGTGACTGCTGCCTCTCGTGGTGATGGACGGGGATTGGGAGAGGCCTCGTAGGTAGAATAACCCAGAACCTCTCTTTATCTAATTCCGGCACTGGTTTTCAATTACTTAAAACGTCGAGAATGAAACTTATTTCAATAAATGTGTTGTTTACACAATAAAAGTCATATGACCTATTGACCTATGTCTGCGGATAGCGTGAATGGATCACAAGACTAAGAGATACGACCATTGTGGTTATTGCTGTGCTCTATTCTATTCAAATTCAATCTAATTTTTTTCAAATAGTCCTAATCATTTAATTTAGTATTTTCTTTAAATTTCAAAGAGAGCCCTCACATGGGGGTAAGTGTGTGTGTGTGTGGTGGGCGGAGGGGCTGAGGGAGCAACACTTCTTGGGGCGGCAAATTTGAGGTATCCTTTGAATATTTATGAACTAGCCTGGGATAGCAAATCACCGGTTTTCGTTTCCCCTAAACCTGTGTAAATCAGTTCAGGAAATAGAGAGGATATAATTATGATTTTCCCAAGATATATTATAGGGTTTTTCGATTAAATGGAGAGTTGAAGTGAAAATAAACATAAAAAATTTACACATAAGTTGATTTAATAAATAGTTATTTAGATAAAGTGTTAAAAGTATATAAATTGTATTTTAAAATTTCTTTAATTATAAAAAAATCAACTGAGCGCAGGCGCTGAATAAAGCAGTTGCAGTATGTAAGAGGAGGGGGGAGGCCAATTAGGCTTGTGGGGGCCCTGATTTCAAATAGTCCCATCATTCGATGTAGTATTTTCTTTAAATTTCAAATATTCCTCATCAGTTCTATTTTCTCTTTTCAGAATGACGCAGATAACAACAAAGAAAACCAAACCGTCTCCCGAGGTATCCACGAAGACAAAAAATTCGAAAACGACAAAAAAAGATTCCGGCTATTGTGGTTCTTTTGCTAAATTGTTTGTGTTCGTATTGGTATGTTCATTAGCCAGTTCAAGTTATACAATACGCAATTACAATTACAGCGATTCTAAATTACTTTACAAGACAGACCAATACGTTATAAGCCATTGGTTTAGTTCTTTTTCAACCTTACTCTGCAAAAGCTATGAATTAAACACGTTCTACAATGCTGACGCTTTCCTTGTGAATGGAGAAGCAAGAAGCAGTCAGAAATGGCGGGAAGTCATAACTTTGACTGAGCGTGACGTCATAAAGGAGAACGATTATGCATACCATGCCTCCCATTTAATTCACGGGTCGTCAATTCATGTCAAAGGATGTAGCATTCTCGAAATGTTGCCAAAAGCCGAAGTTTTGGTCATCAAAGGCAACAGTAATTGGGAAAGTTGGAAAACCGGAAATTGTCCGATTACATGCGTGGCAAAATCCATCGACATCAAAGCGCAAGAGACATGCAACTTTATGGAAATCTTTGATCTCGAATACGATGTGACGTCAGACGACAATTATTACGTAGTAATAACAAAGAAAGCGGACAGTGGCGACCAGTCAACATTTATTTACAGTCAACTAAAACTCAACAAAACAGTTTATGATTTGTCGCAGACTGTCAGACATTGTCATCAACAGCAATCGTGCGTTCTCCCTCTCGACTTCGGCAAACAGCAAGAAATCATTGTCAGAATAGAAAACGACCAATCATCTAGTCACCTAGGCTCTGTTCGGACACAATGCCAATTACGAACAATCATGTTGGTTGGCGTTTTCGCAATTCTACCTGCTTCCTTAATTCTATTGGCGGGTCTTTGCTGTTGTATGTGTTACACTATGGGAAAACGGGAGGCCAAAATTAATAGAAAGTTGCAGATAACCAAAGCATTGGTTAACAACGACAAAGAGAAGTTGCCGCCGTCTTATGACTCTATCACCAAAATACAAGCTTCCGATTCAATAGCTTAAATATTCGGACATAAAACAAACCGACGATGAAGCTTACATCTTATTTGACTAATTTTAATTATAAGACTATTCTAATATTAAAATAAAGCTAAAATTATTTATTTTAAAATAGACAAAATGAAGTATCAAATCTCTAATATTGTAGACTCATTTCATCATTAACCCCAGTTAAAGAGCGTAAAGCTCTAACTCAATATGATTCAGCACCTTTAATATTTTTTAAATATTCTGTAGATTCCTTAAACTAAAGGGCGTTGGGTGGCCTAATGGTTAGCACGTGCGCGTTGTATCATAAGGTCTGTCATTAAGTCAACTGGCGTGCTTTCGATTCCCCGGTAGGCTACGTGACAAGGAGTAGGTCGCCTGTCCAACCTCGTGGGTTTTCTCCTCCGGTTTTCTCCCACTGCTAAAGACCCCTACGCGCAAGCGAATTATTGAAATAAAATTGAATCCTTATGTTAATAGCCTCGAAATGACCTAGCTTGTGTCGAGTGGCGCTAAACCCCATCTCTCTCTCTCTCTCTCTCTCTCTCTCTCTTAAACTCAAAAATATAGCAGTTCAAATACATTATAGCCTACGGACAAAGATAGTGATTATTTCCCCTGATTTTATGATATATTTATAGCAATGCCTTCTTATTTGTCCACAGATCATTGATGATTTCCCCATTGACTTTAATGTTAATTCTCCTCACTTTGACAGGCTCTAACTTTTTCCCAAATTTTCGTAGGGTAGAACGCTTTCTATCACAGATGGAGAGACATGTGTCTCAAAAGCACGTATGGGATTCATCATGGAAAACTTGAGATACACAAACTGGAAGTAGAGAGAAATGAACATGAAATTTCCCGCCCTAAAACTACCTCTTGCCTCTCGTTGGCTTCCGCCTCAAAATCATGAATATTCACCAAAATCTGGCAGAAAATGGATATTCAAACTCTTTTCTTTAATTTTACACCAGAAAGTCAACAAAAAGATCGCAATGCAAAAGGGGGAAAGGGGGAGAAAGACTAAAAATAGCGCTGGGCCTGGTTTCGTTCGTGGTTGACGGCGTAGGAATAATTGGTGTGCTGTGTCCATTTACCCCCCCCCCCCACCGCCCACTTTATCTTTTATCTTTTACCCCATAATGATGAACGTGGCTGTGGATAATGGATGTACAAATCAATATTTTGCAGTAGAGGTAGCCATTTTTACCCCACCCCACGCCTACTTTATTTTTCCCAGAGTTATTTCCCCTAATGATGAAAGCGGCTGTGGATAATGGATGTACAAATGATTTGCCGTAAAGGTCGCCAATTTTAATGCCGTGGAATAAAAATTACAGGTTCATACATATAATATAATACAGCAGATAGATAAACAGGTCTATCAAATTGTCATTATTCATCCTTAAATGCCAAACAAAGAATAGGAGTTTCAACATCTCGTCAATCGGAGGTTCAAAATTTCGTTTTACTGGTCTTTACTACCCTTGGATCTTGAAGAGCTGTTATTTTACCCGGGTTCTGGTTGATGTGAGGGATTAGCCAATGACACGGCCTATTCTTTGCGTGGGTATACCACTAGAAACATCAACGCTTATTGGTTAATCAAATGTCTGAAGTCATATACATGTATATATAGTGTCAACAGTCTCGCGTGTGACCCCTGACGTGACCTATTACAATCGGTCAGATCTTCATGTAGTGGAGGTTATCGAAAATATAAAACAACGAAACGAAATATAGATCTGTATGTTAATCAGATTGAACATCTCATCAACCCAAATACTTTGGGTCTAAAATCTTGTGATAATCCCAGACAGTAGCATTTCAACTTATTCTAACCATCAACGGCTCCGGACTCTTTTATGTAGTCTACCCGCCAATGTGTGCATCGGCGAATACACGCTCGTCGGGAGCAATATCCACATTCTCAACATTTCCACTGAATTCCCTGATTTCCCCAGTGATCAATGCACTTTTAAAGTAGCCAAGTCTCTAACTCAATATCATCCAAAGTCTTCAACATTTAAAACACGAATTATTTGTCAATGTAAATCAACATTTATGTTGTGATCTTACCGGGAGAAGATGGGCTTCTGATATCCAATATTTAAGACAAAATAAACATTTTACCATTGGTACGCCAATCGTGTACCATAATGCGTTTCAGTCCCATTTGTAACAAGGGACTCGAAGAACGAGACTAGATCTTTCCAAAAGTCATGTCAAACGGCGACCACATATTCTTCGAATTGCCTCGCAACCGAAGTGAAAGTCGGTGATATCATGGTGATCCGTTCGAATAGTGTCAAAATGCTAGGAGTTACTTTGATCAAAATGTAACCCTTAAATCTCGTACCTCCCTCAAATCCCGACATGCAGCCCTAGCAATATTTAATCTTTGGAAATTGAGACCGTTTCTAACCAAGCTAGCCTGCCTCAAACTAGTAAATGCTCTAGTGTTCTCGAATGTTGATTATTGTAACTGTCTGTATATCAATCTATCTCACGGTCTCTGCCTTGCTTCTTCTTCCAAGAGTTCAAGACATGGCCAACAAAATGATACTTGGTGTATCTAAGTACTCAAGCTCAACTGCTGCACCCAAAGAACTCCACATACTACAGGTAAAAGTACGAGCTGAACTCAAGCTCCTTTTCGTGGTCTACAAGTGCCTGAACAATCTAGCTCCTGACTATTTAAAAAATCTTATTTCATACCACTTACATAGACGTTCAACACGTTTAGCTACTACTCATCTCCTTCATGTTCCATTTACTAAACCACGAGCCTTCGCTGACAGGGCCTACAGTGTGGCTGGCCCTAAACTATGAAATGATCTCTCAGATCCTGTAAAGTCATCTTTAACATTAGACAAATTTAAACAATCATTAAAACACATCTTTATAAGCGTGCATTCTCGGAATAAATCAAACTCTGCCATTGTCCCATATTATGTACTGTACTTGTTATGTTCTTTATTAAAATATTTGTGTGTTTTGTAAAGCACCATGAATGCTGATGTGCAGCAGTAGCGAACACTATACCTAAGTCCGATCTTGGTTCGCCTTAGAACCCAGATCGTACCAAGATTTTATAAACGTAAACTTATACAATACATAATAAAGCTATTCTCTATTTGGTCTCAGGTGGCCACGGTGGTTCAGAGAGTAGGGTGTTGGCCCGCTAACCTGGAGGTCCAATGCTCGATCCCAGCGTTGGCCGATAAAGTTCATCGGGATTCTCCCTTGTCAGTGGTGTAGGGCGGATGGCCTAGCACGTAAAAGAACAGTTGGAATTCGAAATAAGAGTGGGCCATATATAACGCCGCTGTCTGGGCAAAATTTCCCTCGTAGCATGCTGCATGACTAACCCCCGTCTTCATTAGCCAGTAGGAACAGAAAAATAGGACGTTAAACCCCATTTCATTTCATTTTATTTCTACTGGTCTATCCCCTATACCAAGATTGTTTCTAACGAGTGTGGATTAATCTCGGTCTTTCAGTACAACTAGATAATTCTTTCCTTGTCAGTTTTGGAGTTGCCAAAGCTGACAATGTGGAATATGGCTTCGAACAATGGGTTCCCTAGCTAAACATTCGAATTACACGGCCTGTGAGCCCTAGACTAATGGCCTACTATGCATGCCTATTGGTAAATCCATCCCAGTGTGTCCCTTCTATCCTTTCGACTACCCCGTATTATGAGAGAAATGTTATACTTGACATTATTATATTTAGGTTATTATATAGCATATTATATTTGGGTTATTATACAGCATATTATATAGCACATTATATTTAGGTTATTATATAGCATATTTTATTTAGGTTATTATATAGCATATTATATTTAGGTTATTATATAGCATATTATATTTATGTTATGTAGCATATTATATTTAGGTTGTTATATTTGGGTTATTATATAGCACATTATATTTGGGTTATTATATAGCATATTTTATTTAGGTTATTATATAGCATATTATATTTAGGTTATTATATAGCATTTTATATTTATGTTATGTAGCATATTATATTTAGGTTGTTATATTTGGGTTATTATATAGCACATTATATTTAGGTTATTATATAGCATATTTTATTTAGGTTATTATATAGTATATTATATTTAGGTTATTATATAGCATATTATATTTATGTTATGTAGCATATTATATTTAGGTTGTTATATTTGGGTTATTATATAGCATATTATATTTAGGTTGTTATTTAGGTTAGTATATTGAATAATAGAATAGTACATAATACAGAATATTATATTTAGTATGTTTAAAATAATATTATTTTTAGGGTATTATGTAGAATATTATGTTATGGTTACAAATATTGTATGTAATAATCTTAGTACCGGTATTTAAATATAGACAAATTTCATAATTTGCCGAAGCCTATTAAAGTACTTAAATCTATATATAAAATCAAAGATGTCCGTCGATGTGTTCGCATCACGCTTCAATGGATGTAAATATTACGAAATTCAAGAAACTAATTATGTTAATATATGTATAGATATGTTTAAACTAGATTGCAAAATACCTGATCTGTTTACTGTTTGTGTAAATATCTATTTAATGTCGAAATATTGGATTTAGAACATCTGACATCTTAAACAGGCATTATTCAAGAGCTAAATCTGCCTGCTGCGTCTTTCTTTAGGCCTTAAATGTTATACACTTACCAAGACCATAATCAACTCTCGATGCCATCGGATACTCTAGATTTTCAATAGATTTAAATACGTTTTGCGGTTGATGATTTAACGTAAAACTGGATGATCGAGACTTCGATTATTATCGTAATAAAAGTAGCAATATCAATCGAGGCTACACAGTAATTGTGTCGGCGATAACTCGGTTCAGATCGAGTCAAGTAATTTGACTGAAATTTTCAACATATTCCCTTTTCATTATCTATTTTTTAAACTTTTATAGCGAGAACTGTCAGTACTTTATTTAATCCTACATGTCCCTTAGGCTTAAATCTGTTTTACAAAGTTTATAATGCGAATGGTCAGGCTAAATCTATTTCTTAAGGCCACCTCCAGCTAGAGTTCGTCAAGGTCGTTGAAATGTAAATAAGCTTAGGGCACGTGATTAATTGTTGACGAGATTATGGGTTAGGGTCGTTTGGGTAAGGGTTCTGGGTTAGGGTTGGGGTTAGCGCTAGCCCTGTTTACATCTCGTAACCTTTGACCAAATCTGTGGCCAAACGAATATTTACTGCTGATCAGTTTGTTGCGTCAACTGTTTGTTGTTCTTTAATCGAGTAAAGTTCAAGGTCGTGAATGTCAAGCACGCCAACGTAGAGCCCCGTTATTACACAATCCCTTCGAAAAGGGCAGAGCTATAAATAACTCGACTCTTTATTCAAATACAAGAAGAGTCGGAAGACTATTAATAAGGGTAAATTGCATTTTAGTTATCCAACAGTGAACATCTAGTGAAATGTATCTATCCAAGAATTGTCTGTCCAGTGAAAATATTAGCTACATAGTTATTAGTTACATCCAACGCCTTATTTATAGATAGGTCTATAACTGTAAGGCTCTGGCTACATAATAATTAGTATACATACAGTATTTTCTATTGTGTACTCTGGCAGATAACCCAGGGCGTATTTGTGTTGCGTCAACTGGGGAATCGTTATTAACGAAGGATTTAAAAACTATGGACAATAACAAACAATTTGATCCAGTGGTTGAACAGCCATATACACCCGGGTCACTAACCGTCAACAACAGAGATGAGGAAAAGGGTGTCGAGTCTTATTCTATCGACCCCTATATAAAAAACACCAGCCAGAACAAAAACCTTGAGGCCAATACCATATTACCCTATTTAGTCCGAAGAAGGAATTCGGAGGAACTGCTGCCGAGACCCTGGAAGAGTGTCAATCAACTTATCATTGTCTCCTATATCAGTGTAGTGCTTTGTTGTTTTCTCGGTGTTGTTGCGAATCATTTCGCATGGAGAGCTAAAAAGACTAAAAATGAAAACAGATACCATGAGACAAAGAAATTTGGAAAATGGTCTGTGATTTTCATGTATTTGGCATTTGCTGGTTTTCTTACCATGTGTATTTATATCCCTATCATTATCTTAAATGAATATGGTTATTTGTGAAATGGGTGGAAATGATTGGAGGCCTAGTAGTACGTACATGTACACATAATGATATTTTTTTACGATTTCAAATTGGATATTTTAATTATGTTCTTTGAATGTATTAAATAAAAGAGAAATACAAATGTAGCTCAGTGATATAAATTATGTGATATGTATAGCGTTTCTATTGCTGAATTTTATTATAGCAATCACATAAGTTTAACGTGCTTGTTACACATCCCCCGTAGCAATGATCTCTGTGTTAAAATTATATTTGGGATATATTTAACGAGCTCTATCACATATTTTATAATGACTGACACCAATATTGTCCTTTAATATTATTATAGCAGTTATTTTTAGATATCAAATTGGATATTATAATACATCACGTTTATTAAATGACATATTTTTGTAATTGTTTTTTGTACTTTTCATACTCATGTTTTCAACATATACAATGTAATTGTGAATTTAAACTATTATTAGTTTTATACTAAGAGTTGCATAATTCTTAATAAAATATTAATAAAACCATGAGTGTTTAATACCAGGCTTGGAACCGTACAAATTCTGTCAACAAATTCTGTCAACTCAATATCATCCAAAATCTTCGACATTGAAAACACGATTTATTTGTCAATTCAAATCAACATTGATGTTGTGATCTTACCGGGAAAAGATGGGCTTCTGATATCCAATATTTATGACAAAATAAACATTTTACAATTGGTACATGAATCGTGTACCATAATGCGTTTTAGCACTATTTGTAATAAGGGACTCGAAAAACGAGGCTAGGCATATATTCCATGCCCAATAAATACTATCGGCGTAGACTGGAATAACCAGACGCTAGAGATTGAAATACTGGCGTATTTCGCCGAACCTAACTGATTAAAAATTACGGTAAAACAGAAACGATTGAATGTAAATCAATTTATATACATTCATATTACATAATTGTATGCGTTGCGACCCATTTGTGTCAATTTCTAGGTCCCAAATATTAGTGACTTAGCTCCTTTAAGTATTTATTGTGTGATAAACCATGGACCTTATAATCCATGTATAATAAGGTCCATGAATAAACAAACTCTCTATCATATCATATACACTGTATGTTTTTAGAATTATGACACCCAGGTAGTTTAGATAACAATAACATGTAGGCTACTGTCAAATAAAATGTATGTGTGAAAAAGTAGGACACTACGACAATAACCTTTATACCATGGAAAACACTGGACACCGTCCAATAATATTATAGCCTACTAATAAGATATGTACACTTCCTTTGCATTTAGTAATTAAGTATATACATCCACATGAAGATACGGGCAAATAAAAAACATCCTGAGAGTATCCCCTACCAGGACACTGTTTTTATTTGCATTAATTTATGTTATATTGTAAATGGGGGGTTGAATGGCCGAATGGTTAGCAAGTGTGAGCTGTATCATAAGGCCATCCAACCCCCCATTTACAAATATAACATAAATTAATGCAAATAAAAACAGTGTCCTGGTAGCAGTGGGAGGAAACAGGAGGACCCAGAGAAAACCCACGAAGTTGGACAGGCGACCCTACTCCTTGTCACGTACAACCGGGGAATCGAAACCATGCCAGTTGTCTCAATGACAGACCTATGATACAGCGCGCGCATGCTAACCATTCGGCCATCCAACCCCCCGCTAAACATATAATTTATAACATGACAATGTTTATAATAACACAACTTTATGGATTTACTACTTCTTAGTTTATTACATGCATTGTTTCAATACTCTTACAGGTATGTAATAAACTAAGAAGTGGTAAATCCATAAAGTTGTGTTATTATGAATATTGTACCTCTACTTCTAAATGTCATTCAAGAAATAATGACAATGTTTGTTTCCTTCATAGCATCCATAATAATGTAATAAGCATGGTCAATTCCATCATAATTAAATACTGCTCCAAATAAATACCATCATTCATTGCTTTGTGAAGTCGAGTTATTATGAAGTTAATACAGACTTGATAAGTTCAACACTTTTCTTGGCAAGTATCAGGAACAAACCCACACATGAACAATCTGTTTTAAGCCATATAAAACATATATTCTGGTTCTCAGAAAATCCTGCTTCACTTAGAAAGGGTCGCATAACCCGTTTTTATTTTAAAATATAAAAAAATAAAAAGTCTCATTGATTATTGCATGTAAAAATTTTACCCTGATTACAGGAGAGAGAGAGATGGGGTTTAATTATTGAAATAAATATTTTACCCTGATTACACCAGAGAGAGAGAGAGAGAGAGAGATATGGTTTAATGTCCACCTGACAGTCTAGGTCGTTTCAGGACTAACACATAGTTCAATTTTATTTCAATAATTCGCTTGTGCGTAGGTGGATTTAATATTGGAAGTTTAACGCCCTACTGTTCTGCTCCGACTGGGCTCATGAAGACGGGCATATACCATACATTGTGCTGAGGAAAATTTGCCTGGACAGTGGCACTATGACCCACTCATATATCGAATTCTAATTGCCAAGGGATCTTTTTACATGCACTCCAATGTATACACGGGACCTTGGTTTTTTGTCTGATCCAAACGACCATACAGCTTTCCTTGTCAGGCCCTCCGTCCTGCACCACTGACAAGGGGAAACCATATCGGAAAATTCTGTTGAACTTTCTCCGCCAATACAGGGATCGAACATGCGACCTTCAAGCTAGTGAGCCAGCGTCTTACCAACTTAGCATCTGTGGTTCCCCATTCATCAAGTACACAATCCTGATAAATGTTGATGACAATTATAAATGATATTGGATAATCATACATAAAACAACATGAAGAGATAAATTTAGTGCCTTGAAATGTGTGAAGTCACTTAGCCAAGTAGTAAATCAGCCAACCTTTGACAAAATAAAACAAATAAATAAAACCTCTTTCTCTCATCAGATTTTTGGTAAGGATTGTGTGAGAACCAGAATACTTTTTTTTATGGCCTAAAATATATTTAGATTTGAACAATTTGGATGAAAAATAACATTTATTTCATATCGAAGATGACACCCATATAGCACTTGTTTTATTTGTTCTTCCACAAGAAAACCATAGATATAACAGTATATTACTCTTGACAATTAAAACATAATAAATTTGATACTAGCTTTCATCTTACCAAGATTTACTTTCAAATCGGCAGAAAAGATTTTACACATAGTTTTGATAACAAAGAAACATTACTGTTTGTGTCTTCAGATTAAAGCGGTGTCGGACCAAAGCAACAGAAAATAAGTGGGTGTGTATTTTAGATTAAGGGTCAAAATGAAAGATGGGCCTTTCCTTTAAAGACTAATAAACAAACTTATCCGAAATGAAATCAAATCTTACATTTTAGGGGAGATAACTCCAAGAATTGTTCTAGTATGGCTTTATAAGTGCTGTGAAAAATTGCCTTGACACCTGCATATACAGCAGTTTGCCAACCGGCAAAGTTAATAACACTATTCAAATTAAGTATGTATTAATTCAAAGAGTTCTAGTAAATTAAAGTCCTCTCGCATATTGATGTCTTGTATTAAATTTTACTTGTCAGAAACTTTAGTTTCTCGTCTTGATGAACATTTTGAAAAATGAAACATGATAAATAACGTCTGATGGATTAATCCGTATCCATAGCTTGAGGTTTAACCTGGGTATCTATAACTTCCAGCTCAATCTTTTTAACTTCTGTTTTTAGTACAGCCGATGTGCCTCTTTTATATCGGTAAGATCCTTGTCTGAAAAATTTGAAATAATTTTGTTAGTAATCGATGTTGAAAGGACCAAAAATTATGGCAGTCACAAATTAAACAACATACATCAATTCTCCATTTCCAACAAATACAAATGACATGCTTTAAATGCAACAGTTTTTGTGAGAAAAAAAACATGACACAGATGTTTTCGTTGCTCAATTTATGTGATAGCATGACACACTTCTGTTCTTGATGCTCAACAAATTTTACAGCAGCATGTTGCGGTTCTCAAATAGATAAAACTGAGAAATGCAAGTAATTTTCTAAAAATGTGCTCATCTCCAATGATTTAAGGCATAGAGAACTGATGGATGCCAAGACATGCATCAATTAATTAAATGGAATATCAAATGGTATGGAATAAATTGGCAATTCGATGAAATCGCCACGTCACTACTATTCATGTGACAGTTGTGTGTGATAGAAATGTTTAATAATAATACATATACAGTGGACTCCGTCAATTCCGACATAGTACAGGATCGATACAATATGCCGGATTACAAAGCATGTCGGAATACTCAATTGCCTCAATACCGGAAGTATAATTGTACCTTTGAATACCGGAAGTATTATTATAGTGCACCCTTATATACCCAGAACTCAGGTAATCAACAAAGACCGACACATGTTTTAAGCTCACGGATAATTGATTGGTGATTGCCTGTCAGTTAACACCCACTGATTGAAGGCCGGATTATCCAATTCTAATTGAACACAAATCGTGATGATTGATGTCGTTATTCAGAGTACTAAAAACTTTTTGGGTTGAAGTAATAAGGAAATACATCGGGACATGCAGATGATGACGGATTTCACAGAATATGGTAGTAGTCGGATGTCGGAAGTGACAAGATATATAGTGAGAAATTGGGGTTAACATCCACTCGACACAAAATAGATAATTTCGGGACTAACACATGAGTAAACTTTATTTCAATAATCTGCTTGGGCGTAGGGGTCTTTAACAGTGGGAGGAAACCCACGAGGTTAGACAAATGACCCTACTCCTACTCATATACAAGCAGAGAATCGAAACCATGTCACTCTACTCAATGATAGACCTGTGATCCAACGCGCACACATTTACCATTTGCCCTGCCCCCACCTTAACAAGATGATTCTTACCTTACACCCTTGAGATTGGCTTCTTGATAAGTTCTCAGATAATCTGTTTTATCCTTAGTTATTATACAAAGATCTACATTACTACCAGAACCTAAATCATTAAATATACCAGCCCTTATAGCATCTTGTACTAACTTCATAGCTTCCTCTCTCTATAATAAAAGCAAATGAAATGGGGTTTAACATCCTATTTTTCTACACCAACTAGGCTAATGAAGATGGTAGGGGAATATCTTGGGCCAATTTGGTTTCGGAAAACGTATGCTGACAAAAATCAAGGATAGAGATGTTAACTCTCAATTTATTACCAAAATTTGTTTTTATAAGAAAACACAGTGCAACATGGTTCAATTCTGCCTCAAATCTCATCTAAATACACAATACTATGTCTTAAATCGCTCTCAGTGTTGCGACCCCAGGTGTTCCATTGGCCTGGTGCCTCTGGATCCCCAATCCAGCAGCTAGGACTTAATAATTTGGGATCAGAACCTGTCAAAATTTTCTAGATACCCCCTGAATGGGCATACGACCAAGAGAAATTTTGTCCACAAAGCAACATTAGTGCCTAGTCTTCATCATTTGTCAATCGTGTGTGCATATCCAGATTTTAATTTAATCTGCTGCAAGAAGTAATTAGAGTTATCTCTCATTAACATAAAAACTTGAATGATGTGCCACAAAATGATAACTGAGAGGAAGAAAACTATGTATATTTTTATCGAAACGGGTTAAAATTGTGTGTTAAGTATTTCTGATCGTGAGGCTATCAAACTAATGTATTTTGCACCGAATATCATTAAAACTCCAGATGTAATTGAGAAGGGTGACAGGGTTGTATCAAGTAGTACAAATTTGGTATACAAATGCAATCAAAGGTAATTATATTTAACCATACACTTTACCTCCATTTCTGGTCTAAAACGATCTTCAAATACGGCCATAGCTGCTAATGAACCAGATCCTATAAAAAAGTGAAATATTTTGTTAAAAAAGTGCAATATTTTGTTAAAAAAGTGCAATATTTTGTTAAAAAAGTGAAATATTTTGTTAAAAAAGTGAAAGATTTTGTTAAAAAAGTGAAAGATTTTGTTAAAAAAGTGAAATATTTGTTAAAACTGAGAGTAATATATGCTTAGTTTGTGAAATATTCTAACACAAGCATTTTTTCTTTCAATACCAATTGTATCTCTTACACATAACTACAAATGTGGAGGGGGAACACCCCAATGTACGCAACATGTATGCTTACATACATACGTATGCATTCTCGATCAGAATCGACATGGTCTATACATGTAAACAGGCAATATATAAAATCATGGTGTTTAGAAATACTCTAAAATTAGAAAGTAATAAAAGTGCTATACCCATGGTAACATATGGTAATTTATCTGTTGAACCATGTGGCCATACACTGTATAAATGAGGACCAGTAGAATCAACACCACCTAATACTAAAGCTGCACTAATATAACCATGATATCTAAAAAATATAAGATTGGTATTTATGAATTGAATATTAACTATTATAATCAAGATGTCTAGAAATCAAATGGAATTCAACGTTTTACTGATCTGCGCCGACTGGGCTAATAAAGATGATTATAACAAAGTCACATGTAAAAACAAACATTAGTTTAAACAATTAACAGACACGTCTACATTCAGGTATCAAGCTTGGATATAGGGCACCTGTCTCCGACTTTCTCAAGTACAGATTATCACACAACATATATAAGCATGACTGGACATAAGGCACATGTCACAGACTTCTCAGGCACAAATTATTATATACATGTATACATTGTATGAATATTTGTATCTGACAAAGTCTGTGACATGTGCCTATTGAGAGGTATGAAAGCTGAGAATAACGTACCTGTATAACATTTGTTTTAGTAATCTGTTGGCTGTACAGACTCTAGGTTTACGACTTGTTTCTAAACGATGTAGTTCTAGTTTACTGGCTATCATTTGAGTTGTCATCTCCGTATCAGCTGCTGTACCAGCACCACAACAACTAAAGATATAGCAAAATTATTACATTAACATTCCTTATCAGATACATGTGCAAGATCTTAGGGTCAGCTCACAAATCCATATACAGTAGATCAAGAAATTTAAGCTAGCAAGAGAAATGTATGCATTAAATACAACCTACTGATAGTTGATTTATTTTCAACAAACATTTCTATTCTATAACGCTATAGTAGTATTAAAAAAAATCTAGTTCATTTCGGGGCTAACATATAGTTCAAGTTTATTTCAATAATTCGCTTGCGTATAGGGGTCTTTAGCAGTGGGAGGAAAGCGGAGGACCTGGAAAAAAAACCATGAGGTTCTATAGTATTAAACACAAATTCAGTAACACTAGTTTTAACACTATAGTATTAAACACAAGTTCTGTAACACGATAGTATTAAACACTAGTTCTGTAACACTATAGTGTTAAACACAAGTTCTGTAACACTATAGTATTAAACACAAGTTCTGTAACACGATAGTATTAAACACAAGTTCTGTAACACGATAGTATTAAACACAAGTTCTGTAACACTATAGATGACGACAATATATGACCACAATTCCATGTTGGCATATAAAAAAAGAGGCAGTGGGTCAATTAACTTCACTATGCATTGTGCATTTAAGTCGAAAACCTTCAGGTCACATTAATTTCTTGTTTAAAGTTACTGTACAAACAAGGACCTAGTTTGAAGGATTGGTTCGGCTAGACCAAGGGGGGGGGGGGGGGGGGGAAACTGTTGACCACAGTTAATTAAATTAATTAATTAAATTAATTTTAAACTTACTAAATATTAGATGAAATATAATGGATTTTTTCACAGTTTTTGTCAGCTACAACTGTATCTTCTGTGGCACGAGTATCAGCTCCCAATACAACTCCATCCTGTGAATATAAAAAAAAAAACAACCAATAAATAATGTTGTGATTTTACCGATAAAACCAACTTTCTCATCCAGAGACCCGACTGGGAATAATCATGACTACCAAGACGAGTTCCAGTATTCCTACGCCGGAACGTATAAAAACCCTCACCGTTTTGGGTAAATCTATGAACTTCACTCAAATAGAATATGCAAGACAGTACTGAATCTAAAAGATAGTTCAATACAAATCAGTAGGTCTATTCAGAACAGTATATGACTTCACCTTAAAAATAATTCCAGCGATTGTTGTTCCAGTCTTGTAGGCTTTTGGTGCTTTGAATCCCTTATCTTCGAGTAACGCATTTCTGAAAAGAAATAATAAACAAGAAAATTAAAAAGGTAGGCCTACACAATTGTCTGTTTAATGAAAGATTGCTAATAAATCTGATAAAAGCATGTACATACATGTACCCTATATTTGTAAATTGCAAGAATATATTGAACAGTTAATCAATGTTCAGTTAATCAATGTTGAGACTTGTAAGGTTGATATTATTTACATTCGTATGATGTCTGCCACCTGAACAGAGAGAGAGAAATAGGGTTTAACGTCGACTCGACAACAACTTGGTCATTTTGGGACTAACACATGGTTCAATTTTATTTCAATAATTCGCTTGTGCGTAGGGGTCTTTAGCAGTGGGAGGAAACTGGAGGACCAGAAGAAAACCCACAAGGCTGGACAGGCAACCCTACTCCTTGAACCAAGGAATCAAAACCATGCCACTTGACTCAATGACAGACCTTATGATACAGTGTGCACGTGCTAACCATTCCGCCCCCCCCCCCCCCACACGACCCCCTGCCACCTGAACAGCGCCATTCAAGAATAACAGCTGACAAACTATGCCATATATGAATGTTTAATGGTGGGTGTCACTGTAGTATATTCAGTGAATAGTGATTGGTGAAATATTTGCACTTCTGTTGGCAGCGCATGCTCAAGACCGTAATATGGTTTGAGTATACTATACTTAGACTGCATCAGCTATGGGGTTTAATAGAAGCCAATAACTCTGCATGATTGCAATTCTGTCAGATCTGAAATCTCAGTCCTGTTTTACCATCATTAGTTACTTTAGTAACAGTGTCTGGTCAGACTAGCCCCTCACTCAGTCACTGTCTGTTCCTAAATTCCTAAATTTTGAATACTGGCTGAACATAACTGCGACACTGTGACCTCTGGTATGCCCAAGCGCGGGTTTCCTAATGGCAGTAAAATAGCCTTAGAGTTAGAAGTGAGGTGGTGTTAATTACTCTTCGTTATTTTCATATTTATGATAAAAGGGACAAGAGGATGCGTGTCAGTTCATCCCACAACCGTTTCACCCCAGGCTGTTTCATCCCAACCTAATTTTTTATCGATTTTTGTTGATTACCGATTTTATTCTTTGATCTGTTCTATAACTGGCAAACCTGTTATACTGAAACCAACTATTCATGATAAAATTGCATTGACATATTGTTATTGGTATTAATGTATAAATAAAATATTAAAAATTCATGTAATACTGGTTTTTAAATTTGTGGGATGAAACGACTCGATATAAGTGGGATGAAAGGACCCGTGTAAATTTGGGATAAAGCAGCCTGGATGAAACAGCCCGGGGTGAACATGTAGTGGGATGAAACGACCTGCTCCGGGGACAAGACAGAAGACACTAAGTGAGTAACGGTGAGAGGCTAGTCAGACCAGACACCATTACTAAAGTAACTACACCTTCATCTATATATATCTAAAATCAACTTGTTTAGGGGTTTTATTGGCCAAACATATGCATGTCCATGATATTTATGAATTATGCTATCAAATTTGTTGAGTCACATTAGGATTCAGGGCTAGAAATTATTTGAAAGGTCTTGACTATAATCATTTGGCCGGAATTTTCTGTTCATGAAGTCAAAATTTCGAAAAAAGCTGTCATGTAAAAACTGGTGTCTTGTTTACAATAATGTGAATGCTCTCTCCATTCAAATACATATACCTTTTACAGTTATCAAAAGAAAAACCACCGTGTGGAAGTTCTACAGCAACAGTGGACGCCATGTTTTAATTTTCGCAAGGGCTGAATGGATCAGACGTATTTGATTGGTTGAGATTCGTCTAGTCTTGGATGCACAAAATAATATAGAGTCTGGATGTTTAAGATGATATATCCGGTGAAAATAAAAAAAAGAAAAGGTTCAGTCAGAGACTACAAAAACGTGGGCTTTTCAATATTAATTTCTTTCCCATGTTTATAGTCTTCTCTACATGCACTTTTTAAAATCGATTTAGATGTAAAAGAGACAATGAAATTGGAATGTGATGTCATATCAAAAAACCAAAGTTCCAAATTGTGTGTGTGTCCTATTTTTTGAGCTACTTTGATTGAGTACATCTTAGATAGAACTCAAGTCAATGACCATAGGGATACACTCTCTTGAACCATTGAATAACCCGAGCGGTATTCAATGGTCATTGAGTTCTGTTTTTATTCTATAACTACATGTACATGCAAATCTCAAAATACACTGTACTATCTAGATTATCAAAAAAAACCATTACCACTATAAACTATAACGTAAAAATTCATCATACTCATAGGTTCCGCCCTTTTTTCTTTCTTTTTTACAAAAATTGTGGTTGCCTAGTTGTGACGTCATTACAGTTTGACATAGTGCTCATTCTGGACCAAAGTAGTACGTTTTCAAGCCATTGAATACAACTATAGGTTATTCAATGGCCATTGAATACAACTATAGGTTATTCAATGGCCGTATTCAATGATATTTGCTTGTATTTGCATGTAGTAATAGAATAATTTACATTATCCTGTTTCTTGAAATTTTAACTAAAGATAAAATCCAAATTTTAGTAGATACTTCAATTTTGATTGGCTAAGCACTAAAATCAATCTATTATTATCCAATCAAATTACTAAAATTTGGATTTTATCTTAGTTAAAATTTTGTGAAACCGGCCCACTATTTAAAAGAGAGAGAGTGTGAGAGTTTAACATCCACTCGACACAGACTAGGTCATTTTGGGACTAACATGGTTTAATTTTATTTCAATGATTCGCTTGCGCGTAGGGGTCTTAAATAGCAGTGGGAGGAAACCGGAGGACCCGGAGACGGGTAGACTAATCACCGGAATTCCTTTACAATCACTATTTAAAAGAGAGAGAGTGTGAGAGTTTAACATCCACTCGACACAGACTAGGTCATTTTGGGACTAACATGGTTTAATTTTATTTCAATGATTCGCTTGCGCGTAGGGGTCTTAAATAGCAGTGGGAGGAAACCGGAGGACCCGGAGACGGGTAGACTAATCACCGGAATTCCTTTACAATCACCGGAATTCACTTCTAAAATCCCTGATTCCTCCCACAAAACTCACTTATTTTAAATGTATAATACATTTTGATCTCTCCACAGGCCAGATAAAGGCGCTGTAGGTGAATTTATTTGAAAGACTACCAGAATTCATTTCAAATATATGCATCATGATTATGATAACGTAGGGCGCGTCGTATTACCCAATAGGCCGAACTCCAAAATAACACATAATAACAATTTGCGTCAAATTACCCAATAACTCCAAAATAACAGCCAATAACCCCAAAAATGTTGACTGTGGAAACACAATATAACAATTTAGTTGAATTTAAGAAGCCTGGCTCATTTGTGCCCAAATCGGAGGTTCACGGGAAATAACTCATGTATGTGATTTTTGTTGACAAGAAACTAATGTATACTTTCGTTGCAATTCGTTGTAATGTATTGTAATAAAAGATTGATAATAGTTTATTAAAATAAACAATTTAATATTATAACTATATTTATTTATTTATAATTGCAAATTGCACCGATTGTCACTTTCGGTCATCGACATCGTAACTTGTTTAGAAATAAATAAATTCTCATTTTCATGTTATCATAGTTTATGTTTTTTGGAGGTGTGATTGTATGTGATTTGTCACCTTTTACAATGACAATTAACTGGTGAACATTCTATATGCCTACTATTGGCATATTATTAAAATTACACTTCATTTAATCTGGACTGCTTCATGCTACAACGGATTATTTATGAAAACATCCAAACCATTATTGATGAGACTTTATGATTATTTGATTGGCTGATTATTACTAAGTTAATTTTCGAATAAACTTAGCTCATCTACATTCGAGAAATGTTCGGTTTGACATTTTACATGGATAACTGCTGTGTTTTTATTGTGTTTCCCCGAGTTGACCATCTGGAAATATCGTTTTACAGCAGATACATTCTAGTATTAATATAAATGCAAAATATAGGTAAATACAATTGTCTTGGGGCGAATTCCGATTTTCTCAAAGTGAATTCCGGTGTTTTAAAGTAATTTTTTATTAATGTAAAATATTAGTAAATATGAAGGTCTAAAGTGCGAATTCAGATATTTTGTAAGTGAATTCCGATTTTCATTTTCATTTCATTTTATTTAGGTTTTTAAAGAAATTTTGTTAAATCCTGAATAATAACGATAGGCCACCATAGTCTTCAGTGCGAATTCAGATATGTTGAAAGTGAATTCCGGTGTTTATATGTTTTCAATGTGAATTCCAGTGTTTATGTGGTTTCAATGTGAATTCCAGTGATTTTATGTGTTTTAAAGTAATTCAATATTAATATTAATGGAAAAATATAAGTAAATAGGAAGATTGTACGGGCGAATTCTGATATCTCCAAAGTGAATTCCGGTGTATGGATTTGGTCAAATAATATTGTAAGTTAAAATTAGGACTGAAATGCTGATAAAAGAGGCATTTTGATGAATTACAAACAGGTTCTACACATAATTGTTTTGAAACATCTCAAATTTGACGAGTTACAAGATTTTCTCCACACATGTCGAGTAATCTCCCTTTAATTGTCAAAATATCGGATTTACAAATCCTATTAAATGTAAATATTGTCATTGTATAAAGTGACAAACCACGTACAATTACAACATAATAAACTATCATAACATGAGAATACTCTGAACAAAGACAATTAATTGTCAGTGGAACTTATTTAAAATGATTTCATTTATTTATTTCAAAACAAGTTACGATGTCGATGACTCGATGACAGAAAGTGACAATCGACACAATTTGCAAGTATAAATAAATAAATAACTTATTTAAAATGATTTCATTTATTTATTTCAAAACAAGTTACGATGTCGATGACTCGATGACAGAAAGTGACAATCGACACAATTTGCAAGTATAAATAAATAAATATAGCTATTTGTCAGTGGAACTTATTTAAAATGATTTCATTTATTTATTTCAAAACAAGTTACGATGTCGATGACTCGATGACAGAAAGTGACAATCGACACAATTTGCAAGTATAAATAAATAAATATAGCTATAATATTAAATTGTTTATTGCACGATATATACCATAATATGTTTCATGCATATAATTACTGTTTTAATAAACTATTAATCAATCTCTAATTACAATACATTACAACGAATTGCAATGAAAGTATACATAAGTTTCTTGTCAACAAAAATCACATACACAAGTTATCTCCCGTGAACCTCCGATATGGACAAAAACCAGTCACGCTTCTTAAACTCATACTAAATTGTTATTTTGTGTTTCCACAGTCAATATTTATGAAGTTATTGGTTGTTATTTTGGAGTTATTGGGTAACTCGACGCAAATTGTTTTTTAGTGTTATTTTGGAGTTCGGCATTTTGGGTAATACGACGCGCCCTACGTAATCATAACCATGATGCATATATTTGAAATGAATTCCGGTAGTCTTTCAAATAAATACACACACAGGGCCTTTATTTGGCCTGTGGAGATATCAAAATAGTAATTTATTACATTATAATGTATTATACATTTAAAATAAATTAGTTTTGTGGGAGGAATCAGGGGTTTTCGAAGTGAATTCTGGTGAATTCTGGTGATTATATGTGAATTCCGGTGATTATATGTGAATTCCGGTGATTGTAAATGAATTCCGGTGATTAGTCGGGCCCCCCGGAGAACCATGAGGTTGGACAGGCAACCCTACTGCGTCAGTCTCTGTGAACGCCTGAACAATGTAAAGGAACATTTTAGTGAGAAAATAAGACCCTGCTTACCTGAGTTACCTCGCTAGCGTCAGTATTTGCAACACAACATGCAGTTAAAAATACGTCGCCTTCTGCTAAACGAACTTGATGACACCATTGAAAAATAGAAATGAAAAACATATGTATGCAACTGTAAAATAAAAAATTCTTTTTACAATACACTTAAATTATGTTTATCACACAATGATCATCATTATTTGTTTTTCCAGGCATGTTGATGAAGAATTAATGTCAAATAACTGAGACAGTGAATACATCCCACAAAAATGGCTGAAATTATGGTAGATGAAGAAACTGAGCACATTGCAATTGTAGAATATTTGTGTGAAGTCTGTGGGTTGAAGAATGACAGATCAGCAAGAATGGCATCCATGACAGTTTTATCTGATCTTCTTCGATCGGTTCACGTTTCACCAACAACTAGACAAATCTGTTTACAGGCTGGGATATTGACAAATTTAGAAGACATTTTGGATTTGGCTACTGCCGTTTCACCTCTTGATGGCATGAATATATTACTCTTGATGTTAGCTCTACAAATTCTGTGGTTGCTGTCAATGGCTCATGTCTGTCAACAAGAACCAATGACAAATTCACAATTTATCAGTAAAATCATGGCTTTGATTCGACTCACAAACAGCCCTCTTTTGAAATTTACCTCTGCTAGTACAACTTGCTTGAAGAAATTATGTGAAGGGAAACATCTCGTTGGACAAATCGGAGAAGACTTCAGATCCGTTGATTTTAGCGTAATTCCCAGCAATTCGAAAGATCCAGTGGAACAAGCAAGTATTGCTGCTTGTAGTCCGACTGCTTGGGAGTGTCGTCTGTTTGATACAAGCGGATCTCAAGATGTTAATGTTACAGAACACTTTCTCCGGAATGGCCATGGATTGGCCACACAAAGTACCAACAGCTTCCCAGAAGAATCCTGGAAAGATATTTTAGTTACACATGTTGTGGCAGGTCCATATTTCTGGTGCCAGATAGGCGAAAAAGTCATCCTTACTGCCAAAAAGATAGAACTTTTATTAGCGTCTGAAGAATTAGAACAATGCATGGCAACGGTTGGAGAATATCTGGTTGTTAAGCATGATGATACGTTCATCAGATGTAAAGTTTTGAATAACTATGGTAGCTATGTGGTTGTTTTGGCTATAGATTATGGGATGGTTGTTATGGTAACTGAGGACATGATATTTAAGATGCCACTGTGTACTGGGGTTCTGTATTATAAAGCTCAAGCCCAACTTTGCTGTTTGTCAGGTAAAGTATTGTGTATTGCGATGGTCTATGACATTTAGGGCTACACGATATGCTAATGATATGTACATTTGTATCACAATATGGACGCCACAATACAATACATGTACATATCAGGATATGGACCCCATGATACGTTACTTATCAACATGTCATTTAATGGCGACATGTTACATTATTATCCACACTTTTCCATCTGGAATTTTTAATCCAAAATGTTTCCAAATCTGTGATTTGTGGTTTGCTGGAGACGAATGTTTCATTGCCGGAAGCCATCTTTCCCTACTTGTTACTTGAACTACAGGGGGACATAACTCTGCATGATATAGTTGAGTATTGGAAGAAAACACACAGATAAAAAAAATCTGTTTTCCAAACCATGGTACGGAACTTAAAGTACCATGAAATGAACCGTTTCATGTATACTGTGCTATATCGTTGCCAACCTTTTTCAACTTGTTGACCCCTTGGGATATTTTTAAAATCTCTGGGGTTCTCTGTCCCGCACTGCACTGACAAGGGGAAACTGCTCGGGAATATCCTGATTGAACCCAGGATTGCTTGGTTAGAAAACCAGCTGCTTACTCACTGAGACATTGCTGCTCGATGTAGCCATCATATATATGTAGTTCTTAAGAATCAGGGGGGTTGGGTGGCCGAATGGTTAATGTGTGCGCGTTGGATAAGAAGGTCTGTCATTGAGTCAATTCGCGATGTGTAAACTCCCCGCTTGTACATGACAAGGAGTAGGGTCGCCTGTCCAACCTCGTGGGTTTTCTCAGGGTCTTCCGGTTTCCTCCCACTGCTAAAGACCCCTACGTGCCAGTGAATTATATGTTAGTCCTGAAATGACTACATGTAGTTTGTGTTGAGTGGATGTTATCAAAATGATGTTAATCATAAAAACTTTTCAATTTATCTACTGTAATAATTTTACTGATGGTCATAAATCAGTTTTAAATGAGATGTACACATAATATTAGCATGGTAGCCGCTTCTTACAAGGAGGTAACATGCTTGTTGTTACCTGAAGAAGTGTGGGTCTGACTTAAACACGATATAATACTGTATTTGTTTTCCCTACATCATGTCTCTCTCTCTCTGTTTTGCATTGTGAATTATTTTTATAAAAAGTTAATTTGATATCTTTTGGTTTCAATTGTGGTTGGGTAAGACACAAACGAAGCAGTTGTCTGTCTCTGATTTATTTCCAACATGATTTACTGTTCAGTTATTGTTATGATTACAGGAGTCTCTCCGCCCCTACTGGACCACAACATTCAACAAATGGCCATAAGTATATTATGTAATCTATCGAGACATAAAGTCATGGTGGGTAGGTATTCTTAATTTTTTTATTATTGTTGTACGCAGTCTAAAGATTACATGTATGTCTGAAATTTTATCAGAATTATGTGCTCTGCAGGTGATTTTGATGGTCTTGGTTCCTATCCATATTGGCACATATCGGACTCTAATTTCCTAGATTATGGTCCCTGATTCTTGAGAAATCACGTTTTTAGCTTGTGGACACTCTAAAGGTCACAATTTTTATTTGTTTTTAAAAAAAAAACGTTCTAATGTATCACTGTTACAAAGTAATTATAGTTGAGTTCAAATTTCGTGAAAATCAGACCGAAACGTCCCGCAAATAGTGTAAAAGCATATAATACCAAGGTTGTGGACGCTCTAGAGGATACAATTTTTGTCCGATTTAGATGAAACTTCATATATGATATGTTTATATCCCAAATATCTTGGTTCCTTTCGATATTGACGCATGTGCTACTCATCTTGTTGCTGCTGTTCTTCAGAGTGACATCTATTCAAATACGATTGACATGAAACTTGACAACCTTGTTCCGTGTAGAAGTCTACATCGAAGGACAAACTTTCAATTTGTGATGGCCGATTCCTGGACAATATAAATAGATTCCAGGGGCCTGTTTCACGAAATTTCAACTAAGATAACATCCAACTTTTAGTAATTTGATTGGATAATAATAGATTGATTTTAGTGCTTAGCCAATCAAAACTGAAGTATCAACTAAAATTTGGATTTTATCTTTAGTTAAGATTTCGAGAAACAGGGCCCTGTATATCTTAACTAAATGTACATGTTATATTTTTTTTTCACAATAAATTGTCCAAATTTGTTCATTCATCTTTGCAAATTGTAGATTAAGTCATCATTTGTCACAGTTTTTTCATTTTGATTTTTACAGGTAAATTATTGAAGAATTTGGGTATTTTTGATATACTTAAAGTGACTTTGTTTTGTCCAGTCCCATGTTTGATTATCCAGTCTTTGGATTTAATCAACAATCTGATAAACAACCCTAGAATAGGGTACAAGATTTCAACTGTACAAACTTTGAAATGGTTGTTAGGTGAGATTCTGTTAAATTATTGCCCACATTTAATGTGTAAATATATATATCATCGTTACCTTTATTGTTTGTCCATTCATGCCAAATTTATAAGTTTTGGATCACAAATTGCAGAATAATTTCCCAATCTACAGGCACATATTATGTTTTAAAGCTTCTGAAAATGATCCAGACATAAAGACCAGTCGTAGCAGTACCGTAGGACATTAAACATGCATTATGCAAGAGCTTAATCTGCCTATTGCAGGTCTTTTTTAGGCCTGAAATGTTATCTAAACTATTAATTAGTCATTAATTAACCTATCCAGACCATAATCAACTCTAGATGGCATCGCTAGCCTACGATCTTTAGTGGATTATGAGCCGATTTACTGCATAACTTTCCTTTACAATTTAACGATTAAATGCTGTTTAGTAATGATGATCAAGGCTAGGCGGAAATTTCAACCGCTTAGTTCTCGGTTGATAGTGGATCAATTTGGATGAAATTTTCAGCAAATTGCCTTTACATTATCTAGTTTTTAACTATTATAGTGAGAACTGCCAACTTGTTATAGAATCTCCCTTAACCACATTGGATTTCATTACAGAGACCCATCAAATTTTAATTATTATGAATTGTTACTTGATCAATTTTTAGTGTCTCTAGTAAATACTCCAATTATTTACAAAAGAATGAATTGTGGACTACTTGGACAACTAAACTGATATGGGGTATGTTATATTGCCTGGCAACCCATGTTTTTTTTATATATTTAATATAGAGGTGTGTGACAGTATATCTAATATAGATATCAGTAGAGATGATGAAGAGAAGATAGCCTATAATTCTTTAATTTGTGTATGTTCTATAATTTATCAGCACAGAGCAAGACGGAATGACCTATATCAACTTCAAGGTACAGAAACCTCTTTTGTTTCCTTTCATTTGAGCGCCTGTCCAACCTCGTGGGTTTTTCTCCAGGTCCTACGGTTTCCTCCCACTGCTAAAGACCCCTACGCGCAAGCAAATTATTGAAATAAAATCAAACCATATGTTAGTCCCGAAATGACCTAGTTTGTGTCGAGTGGACGTTAAACCCCATTTCTCTCGCTCTCTCTATTTTATTTGAGGAGCCATGGTGGCTCAGTGAGTAAGATGTTGGCTCGCTAACCTGATCCCGTGTTCAGTCTCGCTTATGTCCTACAAAGTTCATCAGGATATTCCAATATAGTTCCCACTTCACAGTGTTGTGGGACAGAGAGTCTGGCAAGCGACAACGAAGGGTCATTTGAGTGAGATGAAAAACTGAGGTCCCATGTACATGCACGTAAAACAACCCTTGGTATATGAGACGAAAAACCGAGGTCCCGTGTATACATTGGAATGCACGTAAAAGATCCCTTGACAGTTAGAATTCGATATAAGAGTAGGCCATAGCGCCGCTGTCCAGGAAAAATTTCCCTCCTAGCACACTGTATGACATATGCCCGTCTTCATTAGCCCAGTTGGAGCAGAACAGTAGGACGTTAAACCCCATTTTATTTCAATTATGTCCAGGCAAATTGATCTCATAGCACACAGCATAATGTATACCCGTCTATATTATTCTGGTTGGTACAGTAAAGTAGCATGTTAAACCCCCTTCCATTTCATTTATGAACAGTGGGTGTTCATAAAGGAATTGGATATAAAATTTCAGTCAAGACCAGTGTAATATGCCAAATTTACAGCTCTCACCGTTATCATGTGTTTTATATTTCTCTGATGGCTTTCAAACTGTTTTGTCATAATGTTTCCATGTATTTGCTTTTCCATATACATTTTTGACATCAGCCTCACTGTTGGCTTGTTTTTATTGTTGTGAGCTGTGTGGTCTTCCTGTATTGACAATTTAAGTACCAGTAGCAAAACATTTTCAAAAATTTTCTTCATTTTTTTTAGGGTTGGAGAATACATTTATATTTTATTTATTGTTGTGAGTTGTGTGGTCTTCCTGTATTGACATTTTAAGTACCAGTAGCAACAATTGTCATCAATCAAATTTGCTTAATTTATTTTAGGGTTGGAGAAAACATTGAAAATAATGTGTAGATTTCCCAATCCGTCATTTGTCTATAAACGAGGGGTGCGTCTATTGAAGAATTATATGATAACTTTAGACAGATCAGTTTACGATAAAAAGGAGACAGATAAAAAAGATGGAGGGGAAAAACCGAATTCAAAGTCAAGGTAAAATTTATTCCTCAATCTATTTTGTCATGAAAATTCTGTAAACATCATCTTCTGTGGGTTATGTTTTGTAATATTCAGCCAGTGTAGATTAACCACAATCACTGACATTTTGTTTTAAATTGTAACTGCCAGGAGATCTTGTTTAAGCATTCCTGCTAAAAAAAAAGGTTGCCCCCCCCCCCCCCAAAAAAAAAAACCCGAACCCATAAAAATTTTATTAAATCCTTCAAAGGTCCAGCAAATATGCTCCAAAAGGCCTCTGTGGCATTGGAGGCAAACTTGCATACATCACGCAAAATTGTCAATCATTCAACACTTCTCTCTATGGAGATTTCCCTGATTTTGTTGTGATTGCTGCCTTCAGTTAATTAAACCAGTTGTTTGAGGGTTGTTCTGGTACACATTATCCTTGAGATACCCCCACAGAAATCCCCAAAGAGGAATTTGTTTGATTTAATTGACAATTTTGCGCTATGGATGCAAGTTTGCCTCATACACCACAGATTCCAATTGGAACATATTTTGGAAAGAACATGACTTTTATACACAGCCACCAAGATAACTGACACTTTGGGAAATGATCGTACATAGACTGAAGTTTAAAGAAATTTGCTGGACCTTTGTAGGATTTAATAATATTTTTATTGGTTCTGGTAATTTTGGGTCACCCTGTAGTTTAACATTCATCACCACAAGCACCATCTGTGATTTTCACTGGAATCTTTTGATGAACCTCTCTTTAATCCCATTATTGAACTGAAGCCGGGGGTTTATCTACCAGTGATCTTTTCATTTTGTGGAAAATCTGACATTTTCAGAAAAAGGGAAATGACGCACAGAAGGAGGAGGGGGGGGGGGGCGTATATGGTCTAATGGTTTAAGGTGTGTATGAAATCACATTGAGTCAAGTGGCTAGGTTTCGATTCCCCATTTGCATGTGACAAGGAGAAGGGTCGCTTGTCCAACCACACGGGTTGCGAATTAATGAAAAAAATTTAACCATGTGTTAGTCCCGAAATAAGCTAGTCTGTATCAAGTGGACATTAAAGCCTCTCTCTCTCCCTCTCTCACTCCCTCCCTCTCTCTCTCTCTCTCTCATATAGTAGATTTGTAAAATTTTAAATGTTTTTATTCTTACAGTGTCAAATTAAAGGACAATGATTCTCATATTTTCAAGCCTGTTGATTTCAAGGTAAGCCCAGTGTTACCTTCAAAGCTTATCTCCCCAGCTTTACCTTCAGAGCTTCTCTCTGTTCAACAATACCTTCAGGGCTTATCTTCCGAGCATTGCTTTCAGACCTTATCTCTCCAACATTGCCTTCCGAGCTTATCTCTCCAACATTGCCTTCAGAGCTTATCCCTCCAACATTGCCTTCAGAGCTTATCTCTCCAACATTGCCTTCAGAGCTTATCTCTCCAACATTGCCTTCAGAGCTTATCTCTCCAACATTGCCTTCAGAGCTTATCTCTCCAGCATTGCCTATATAAAGCTTTATTAATCACAACATTTTGTTTGTCCACTGTCAGCATATATAATTCTATTCAAACAGAAAATGCTCTGCTTAAAAACAAAAAGTTATGAAATGGGTTGTAAATTCTTCTGCTTCTCCACACAGAATTAATCCATTTAATTCACTAAAATATATCTTGGATTTTTTTATTTTAAAGGACATTCTGCTATCCAACGCTCATACACTACATCGTTTTATTTATTTTTATAGGATGAGGAACATTCTAGTGATGAAGAATATTATCAACCAACTGAATCACACAGATTTAAAATATCAGATGATGAGGATGATGAAAATGATGATATACAAACTGTTAACGCAGGACAGAAACCAAATCCATTAGATAGAGAACAGTTTTATATACTCAGTATGTTAATTAGTCATTTGTGTTTGTATTCCCTGGAGCAACCGTGGCTAAATGGGTAAGACGCTGACTCACTAGTCTGTAGGTCGCATGGTTGATCCCTGCATTGGCAGAGGAAGTTCATCGTGATATTTAGGATGGAGGGCCTGACAAGGAAAGCTTTCTAGACATTCGGATGGAAGAAAAAACGAGGTCCCGTGTATATATTGGCGTGCTCGTAAAAGATCCCTTGGCAGTTGGAATTCGATATAAGAGTATGCCATAATGCTGCTGTCCAGGCAAAATAAACCCTCATAGCACAGTGTATAGTATAAGCCTGTCTTCATTAGCCCAGTTGGTGCAGAACAGTAGGACGTTAAACCCTATTTCATTTCATTTTTCATTTGTATTCCTAAATGTCGACAATTGTAGAACCTTGAAATGTGATGTTAAGCAACATGATTCTTTGACAAATAAAAAAAAAACAAAAATAAAAACCATCCTCCCACATCATTTTTATATGCCCACATTTTCATGTCAATGTATATTGTTGTCGCCCCTGTAGGGCCGAAAGTCAGTCTGTTTGTCCGTCCACAATTTGTTTGAGGGCACTCTACAGGTCACAATTTTTATCCGATTTTGACGAAACTTGAAATATAGGTTTATATCCCAAAGTTTTTGGTTTCTTTCGATATTGGCATGTATCGGAATGTAACTTTTCAAAGTAACTTCTGTCGTCCAAAATATGTAAAATTATTGTGTGATTTGGCCTTTTGTATTTTACAGATTCTAACACGGGATTGGAGAATACTACAACTGTTGAACTATTAACGAGTTGCTCACTCTCGTCTGTATCTCCAGATTTCCTTGCAGAAATTACTTGCGGCATGTTTAATACAGGTATTGTGTAGAATCCAGTTTAGATTTTGAAAAGAATTTGTTGCAGCACAAAATATTTGCTTATTTTGTATTTGGATACCTTTAATTGAAATACAATAAAATATAAAAGTATCATGGTTATGCTGCTAAATTAAAGAAACGATGTGTCATGTGGCAGCAAGTTAAAGACCACATGACAGTTGTATATCAAAAAAAGAGTTGGCCAATGGCACCCCGCTACCACGGCAAAATGTCTCGTATAAAAAAACAGCATGGTGTATGCCTGTCCTTATTAGCCCGGTTGGTGCAGAATAGTTGGATATTAAACCTCATTACATTTCATTTTGTCTTAGTCTAAAATGTTTATTATTAAAATGGCTATTATTTGTGTTATTTTCAGGGAAAGGTGGAACTATCTGTTTTGGGATAGAAAGTGACGGTGTAGTATTTGGTTTATATTTAGCACGGGAAGAAAGAGATAATTTTCGTGTTGGAGTTGATAAAATGATGAACGAGAGATTAAAACCGGCCATCTTACATTATCAATTCTCAGTGACATACGTACCGGTTGTTAAGGAAAACCCCCAAACTGAATCTTTAACACCTTTAGAAGATGTTTATGTTGTAGGTAAGTTATTTTTTGGACAAGCATGAAATTAATGTGTTAAAAGTTACCCATTTCTGCTGCATTTGTCTATGTCCCAAGGGAATTGATATATGGTGATCCAAGATGGCTTAGTGAGTTAAGCAGAGTTTACACGATACAACTAATCCATACAACCATCGGATGCAACATATTGGATGACTGTTTACACAATACAATGGTTCTATTCGTTGTGGGGGGTTTGATGGCCGAATGGTTAGCATGTACGTGCTGTATCATACGACCTGTCATTGAGTCAACTGGCGTGGTTTCAAATCACCGGTTGTACGTGACAAGGAGTAGGGTCACCTGTCCAACCTCGTGGGTTTTTTCCAGGTCCTTCGGTTTCCTCCCACTGCTAAAGACCCTTACACGCAAGCGAATTAATGAAATAAAATTAAACCATATGTTAGTCCCGAAATGACCTAGTTTGTGTCGAGTGGACGTTAAACTCCATTTCTCCCTCTCTCTCTCTATTTGTTGTATGGCAACATTTTTTCCTTCTTAATAACCGTGGCCGGATGGTTAGCATGCGCGCACTGTGTTATAAAGTCTATCATTGAGTCAACTGGCATGATTTCGATTCCCTAGTTGTACATGACAAGAAGTAGGGTCACCTGTCCAACTTTATGGATTTTCTCCGGGTCTTCCTGTTTCCCACCACTGCTAAAGACCCCTAAGCGTAAACGAATTATTGAAATAAAATTGAACCATGTGTTGGTCCTGAAATGACCTAGTTTGTGTCGAGTGGACGTTAAACACCATTCCTCTCTCTATCTCTCATGGTTTATTGATGTATGTTATGTCTCATGGTTTATTGATGTATGTTGTGTCTCATGGTTTATTGATGTACGTTATCTCTCATGGTTTATTGATGTACGTTGTGTCTCATGGTTTATTGATGTACATTGTGTCTCATGGTTTATTGATGTATGTTGTGTCTCATGGTTTATTGATGTATGTTGTGTCTCATGGTTTATTGATGTATGTTGTGTCTCATGGTTTATTGATGTATGTTGTGTCTCATGGTTTATTGATGTATGTTGTGTCTCATGGTTTATTGATGTATGTTATGTCTCATGAATTATTAATGTATGTTGTGTCTCATGATTTATTAATGTATGTTGTGTCTCATGGTTTATTGATGTATGTTGTGTCTCATGGTTTATTGATGTATGTTGTGTATCATGGTTTATTGATGCACGTTGTGTCTCATGGTTTATTGATGTATGTTGTGTATCATGGTTTATTGATGCACGTTGTGTCTCATGGTTTATTGATGTATGTTGTGTCTCATGGTTTATTGATGCACGTTATGTCTCATGGTTTATTGATGTATGTTGTGTCTCATGGTTTATTGATGTACGTTATGTCTCATGGTTTATTGATGTACGTTATGTCTCATGGTTTATTGATGCACGTTATGTCTCATGGTTTATTGATGTACGTTATGTCTCATGGTTTATTGATGTACGTTATGTCTCATGGTTTATTGATGTACGTTATGTATCATGGTTTATTGATGTACATTATATCTCATGGTTTATTGATGTACATTGTGTCTCATGGTTTATTGATGTACATGTAGCAGATGTCTCTCATGGTTTATGATATTATTTTGTAGAGATATATTTAGAAAGTAAACCAGATATTTTCTACAGCTGTAATAAAGGACAATGCTTTTATAGATTTGGTGATAAAACAAATCGTCTTAATACACAGGTATGTTGTGGCTTATTAAAGATGCATTATGTAAGCACTAATTCTGCCTATTGTAGGACTTCTGGCTTCAAATATTATGTAAACTATTATATCAAAATTTATTCAAAATTTGATCAACCTTCTAGACTATCAGATGGTCCAGATTTAAATGGATTAGAACATTTAATGATGACATGGATAATTGAGACTGTTGCTACGATAATAAACAATATATGCTAGATCTTGCCAAGCTTCAAACATCAATAATTTGGCTCAGAATAAAGTAAATTTTCAATATATTCATGATCTGTTTTTGAACTATTACAGCACAAACGGTTGTCTCTTTATCTAAGTCTTACATAATGCATCTTTAATCTTTAATCATTAAAGTGTCTTTAATCTGTTCCATTCAGTATTTACAAAAATATATTTAAAGTCTCTGAACATCATTTGAAGGATCGAGGTTTGGATGGCCGAATGGTTAGCATGTGCGCGCTATATCATAAGGTCTGTCATTGAATCAACTGGCGTGGTTTCGATTCCCTGGTTGTACGTGACGAGGAGTAGGGTCACCTGTCCAACCTCGTGGATTTCACCAGGTCCTCCGGTTTCCCCCCACTGCTAAAGACCCCTATGCCCAAGTGAATTTTTGAAATAAAATTGAACCATGTGTTAGTCCCGAAATGACCTAGTTTGTGTCGAGTGGATGTGGACGATATATAAACAAGTTTTAATCTAATTGAATCCAAGCCAGGAGATTATCTACCATTGATAATTTGGGTTTGTTTAAAGGCTCAATACCACTCTTGTTGTAACTGAATAATATGTCCCAATCTTTATTCTGGTTAACAAATTGTACTATTTTACAATATTCCAATTAATTGATGATACAAATTTCATCTTAACACACCTAATTTAAAAAATTGGAGAAATTCAACTAAACGATTTGAAAAGCCTAACGTAAACCTTTTCAAATGTGACTTGGATTTTAAAATATTTTCGAACCCTCTGGACAAGTAAAATAGGATGTAATGGATAATTTACACAACAGGTAGGACACTTAACATCTAGTACTTAGAATAAGGCTATTTTTTATTTTCTGGAGCTGTCAAGCCAGCAAGAGTGTTATTGTCCCTTTAAATAGTCAATTTGCGCACTCCTACATATGAGGGTGGATTAACCAGTGGAAAATTTGGAATTTTCCTAAAAATGTAAATGACGCCCCAAGTTTACAAAGTATTCTGAGACTTAAGAATTTGGCTTATTTTAGATCAGTTATAGCCCTTTATAAAACTTTTGTCGTTTTAATGTATCAAACACATCAATAAGAAACTATGTGCAAATTTTTGTGTTTCTGGATCAAAGATACTTCTCATAAACAGTGATTGAAAGTTGGGTAAATTCTTAGATACATTATGGGAGATTCGATAACGAATTGGCAGTTCTCACTATTAATAGTTAAAAACTAGATAATGTAAAGGCAATCTGCTGAAAATTTCATTCAAATTGATCCTCTATGAACCAAGAACTAAGCGGTTGAAATTTCCGCCTAGCCTCGATCATCATTACTGAAGTCAGTACCATAAACAGCATAGTCTCGATTATCCATTTAATCATTAAATCATGAAGGAAAGTTATGCGGTAAATCGGCTCATAATCCACTAAAGATCGCAGGCTAGCGTAACCATCTAGAGTTGATTATGGTCTGGATAGGTTAATTAATATCTAATTAATAATTTAGATAACATTTCAGGTCGAAAGAAAGACCTGCAATAGACAGATTTAGCTCTTGCATAATGTATGTTTAACTTAAGTCTGAGAATGTTTTGTGAACTCGGGACCAGTACTTCTCATTTAAAAGATGTGTTATGTTTGTTTTACTATGTGCTCTCAGTGGCATGCAGAGGTTTGGTGATATCAGGGGCCATCTTCTTGATTATATGACCCAAAGACTCAAATATAGGGCCTCATACTGAGAAATGTGAGAAAGGCAGATATTTTAAATATGAAAAGGCTGATGAAATAAACTTTTTATTCAAATTGAATATGGCAGCTTGTACAACAAAGTTAATAGCCATAATTACAAATTTTAAAAAAAACAAGATTTCATTTTAATTTCATTCTTTGGTTGAAACTTGTTGGAAGCCCTTCTGATATGGATGCCTGTTTCCGTCGCCCGCTGTCCCCTTCTCTGCATGTCACTGTGTGCTCTCTATTTCTAAATGTTCAATGACCTTATTATTTATATTTATTGTTGATAGGAAGTTCGACAGCTGGTTGTTTTAGAAGAAGAAGCCTTGTTTAAAAAGGAGATCCATGCATTACAGAGTAAACTCAGTTCAATAAAACATCATTTATATTGTGAAGATAACAATTCATAGGTCATGATGTCTGCTAGTATTTGAGAGAGTGAGGTCATAGGCCAGGAAGTTTGCTAGTATTTAATAACTGCTAGTATTTGAGAGAGAGAGTGAGGTCAAAGGTCAGGAAGTATTTAATAACTGCTAGTATTTGAGGAAGTTAGAGTGAGGTAACAAATCATTAAATCTGCTAATGTTTGAGGGAGTGAGGTCATAGGCCAGGATGTATGCTAGTATTTAATAACATAATTTCACAAATTAAAAAATATGTGTACTAATAAGAAAAGATAATTTTGGAGTTAGTCACGATTGACAGAGACGCCTAGCAGTGCAGCATGGATTGTCTGCTCGAGGAAGTAATTAAGTTGTTGGCTTTTATGATTGTTTTGTATTCCTGAATCCTATCTACTATGGATTTTTGTTAGAATTATCTGCTGGAGACCTCCAGAGATTGTATTTCTTTGTGGATAATTTACAATTTTTAGCGTTTGGAATACTAAAATTTCATCCAGCAACATTAGAATGAAAGCGATTTTCATATGATAATAGAGAAATCTGAATATATATTTTTAGGCAGCTGATATCAAATATTTTAAAAAGTGTTTTACGTTTTAAGACAACAATACTCCAAAAGATATTGTTTCCTTCTGTATTGATACATTTCAAAGAGATACATTTTATACTGTTAATGTGCCAAATCCCGGGCGAGTGCCTTTCTTAGAGTTCGAGAGAGATGCGGGCAAGAGACAGCCGGGCTGATCAATATTATAATATTACATGAGGTATTGTTATTATTATTATAACCTTTGTCATGTATGCAACGAATTTTTTTGTTATTGGTCCATATTCTCAGATGATATCTGATATATTTTTTGTTTTTATATAGAAGCTTTATTTGTTACTCTTGTTTTTGTATTGGGATATTTTCGGTTAAGGCAACTGAACTAAAGTAACCTTTAGTGTTGAAATGTTATATATCTATTGTTGATGTTGTATATTATATGCATGTTTATCTATCAAAATATCAAAACCATTGTTTATGTATCAAAACCATTGTTTATGTATCAAAACCGTATCAAAACCATTGTTTATGTATCAAAACCATTGTTTATGTATCAAAACCATTGTTTATGTATCAAAACCATTGACAGGAGTCAAATACACAATAAGTGTAAGAATGATCCACTTTCAGACATCAAATAAAAGAGACAGATATATGATATGCAAGTCATTTTAAATCTTTATTTACCCAGGTTGTTTAAATAGAACTCTAGTAGTTTTAACCTGTGGTGCTTGGGCTAGTTACGGCCCTGCTTCAGTCTCCCTAAGACGGTAGTAGTAGTTACGATCTAAGTCTGAAGAAGCAAAATTCGTATGGACTTTTGTGTCAACCGTGCAAAATCTCCATTTCCGAACCCCCTTCGTACTGAGGCCGAAGACATCATCGATTCTTTATTTTGGCTTTTTCCGTTTCAATTTTAGGATTCTTTCGTTTCATTAGTTATTTTATTATTTTCCCTACGCTTATTGAAAATTACTCGTATGTTTATCCCCAAACCTTACTTTTTTCCCCTTTCTATCCAACCGCGACATGTACAGATTCGTCCACGGTGCTGCTTCTAGCAACGCTTGGCATGTCTAAAGATTTTCTTTGTCGACAAAAACTGACTACACCAAAAGCAACGCCATATTTTTACCTCACGCATATGCTTTAGAATGGGTTTCATGCGAAAAGCTTGTGAAGTTATTAAACTCATGTGTCGTGGTACAATTTTGGTAAAAAGTATGACCAGTCACAATTAGTGACCGTACATTTAAAACCAATAATGAATTTCTTTTATCTTTACATAATGACATTAAAAACAAGTAAGATTTATGGAAAGAACGATCCCGTTCAAATAAAAAATGGGCTGTGCATTTCTTTTTTTGAAGAGTATATTTTATTTATTATACAGTTAATTTTAAACACGTATCATATTCAATTTTAATCTTATATAAACTACTAAACATTATTTGGTCTGGTTAAACAAATTTACATGTTGAATTTTCAGAATAAAAATGCGTTTAACCATTTCCTGAAGATGTCCACAGATAGATTTCTTTTGATTGCTGTTTTCTTCCGCACTCTAACTAAACTCCCTTCGTGTGACGCATACTCTCTTCTCTGCTACATTTTTTTCAGGGTCGATACCCTGGTCATGGCACCAAAAAGAGATGTATATGACACTACGGGGACAGATGTGACTTTAATCAGTAACTCTCGGAAAACGGCCCGTGCCACTAGAGTAACACTATGATCAATTCGAAGCTAACTTAATTTGACGTTGTGCATATGATCAATTAACTCTGGAACACTTTTTACGTTATAACTAAGTTTATATATCGAATACAACATCCATAATACAAAGTTTATATGCAGGAAACTACACACACAGCTATGACATCAAATACAGTACAAGCTAAATATAAGTTCTCTATCCCCTAGCTAGTGTTCTGCGGTGGTTTTCCCAGCCTCTCAGTCTAGGAGGCAGTGGCGGCGCCAGCCGCCGGTGTTTGAAGGGGGAAAGTCCAAGGTTAAGGTGGCAAAGGTACGAGCTTCAACTACGGGTAGGGGGCCTCCCCCAGAAATTTTAGAAAAACAGGCTGCCGGAAATGCAGTCTGGCAGTATTTCAGGCACTGATCGTTGAGAACCTCGACGAAGCCCACTCACGAGCGCCAAAGTAGGGAATCCTTACGGAGGGTATGGGGGACCTCCCCCAGAAAATTTTGAAAAATAGACTGTCGGAAATGCTGTCTGACAGTATTTAGGCACCGATTGTCGAGATAAATAGAGCTGATCAGATACCGTCTGTCGTCTGACCACTAGTCTATCCGACCCCAGAGAGGACAGTGTCAAATGAACGGACTTGCGAACCTCAACGAACCCCCCGAAAATGGCCGATTGGTTAGCACGTGGGTGCTGTATCATAAGGTTTGTCATTGAGTCAACTGGCGTGGTTTCGAATCTCCGGTTGTACGTGACAAGGAGTAGGGTCGCCTGCTCCAACCTCGTGGGTTTTCTCCGGGTCCCCCGGTTTCCCCCCACTGCTAAAGACCCCTACGCGCAAGCGAATTATTGAAATAAAATTGAACCATGTGTTAGTCCCGAAGTTTGTGTCGAGTGGACGTTAAACCCCATTTCTCGCTCTCACTACTTTTACGAGAGGAATGAAATGAAATGAAATGGGATTTAGCGTCCTACTGTTCTGCTCCGAACTGGGCTAATGAAGACAGACATACGTCTTCCAGTGTGCTATGAGGGAAATTTTGCCCGGACAGCGGCACTATACGGCCTACTCTTATATCGAATTCCAACTGTCAAGGAATCTTTTACGTACACGCCAATGTGTACACGGGGCCTCGGTTTTTCGTCCCATCCGAACGACTAGACAGCTGTCCTTCTCAGGCCCTCTGTCCTGCATCACTGACAAGGGAGCACCACCCGGAAAATCTGGATGAACTTTCTCGGCCAATGCTGGGACCTCCAGGCTAGAGAGAGAGAGGGCTGGCGTTTAACGTACACTGGACACAGCTAGGTCATTTCGGGACTAACATATGGTTCAATCTTAGTTCAATAATTTGTTTGCTTGTAGGGTTTTTTTTATCAGTGGAGGAAACTGGAGGACCCGGAGAAAAGACCATGAGGTTCGACAAGCGACCCTACTCCTTGTCACGTACGCCAGTTAACTCAATGATACAACGCGCACGCGCTTACCATTCCCCCAGCCCCCCCCCCCCCCCACACACACACCATTTTTTAATTCTGTGATATTCCATGTGTAACGTGCATCTAATATAGCGTGAGAATATGTACACTGAAGAAGGATGAAATGAGTGCTCTCAATAAGTTTAGACTTAGGCCTAGTGCACATAAACAGGAAGCTGGAAAAGGAAGATAAAAGAAAAAAACACTCCATTCTTCGCAATTATTTATGTAAAAACTGTAACATTCAAATAATAGATGAGAAATATGTATTGTTATATTGTACTTTTTATGATAATTTGAGACAATAATATGTCTCCTCATTTATCAAAATAACTGATTCAATTCAACTTAATTTAACCTACTAATGGCTAATGCAGAGTGTATAGAAAATGTTGGAAGCTTTGTACTGAATGCCTTCTATAAAAAAGGAATACAAAATATAGTGTAGCTAGGTGATGTGTAGCATAAAATATTAAATCATGTTTTGAAAACTAATGTTATTTTGTAAGATATTCAATTAAATATTTTAATGAAGCACGATGTGAAAAATATAATAATGCACAACAATGTGAAATGTTTTTCGTCACTTCAACACACTATTATTATTATTAGACTGCGCTTACCAGTGCATAAATAGAACCAAATGTTTTTATTCTCTAGATTATCATCTAGAAATACACATGGAATTAAAATACATAGAAATAATTTATATTTCCAATTACAGTCATTTCCGGGGATCACGGTGGCTAAGTGGGTAAGGCGCTGGCTCGCTAGCCTGGAGGTCGGGTGTTCGATCCCTGCATTGGCCGAGAAAGTTCATCCAGATTTTCCGGCGTGGTTTCCCCTTGTCAGTGATGCAGGACGGAGGGCCTGACAAGGACAGCTGTCTAGTCATTCGGATGAGACGAAAAACCGAGGTCCCGTGTACACATTGGCGTGCACGTAAAAGATCCCTTGACAGTTGGAATTCGATATAAGAGTAGGCCGTAGTGCCGCTGTCCGGGCAAAATTTCCCTCATAGCACACTGTATGGCGTATGCCCGTCTTCATTAGCCCAGTTCGGATCAAAACAGTAGGACCTTAAACCCCATTTCATTTCACAGTCATTTCCTTCTTTTGGTTCATATGTGTTAAAGATGCATTATGTAAGAATTACATATAAGAGCTGGAGGTTCTCGCTTTAAAAGTTTAAAAAATAGATACTGAAAAATAAATATATTGAAAATTTCAGCCAAATTACTTCGCTCTGGGCGGTGTTATGGCCGTTATCATTGTTTGAAGAATAGTGTAATCCAAATAATTATTTTCATTGCTACCTTTGTTACGATAATAAACTATTCTCGATTATGCATTTTTAAATTATTAGTTGGCAATCTGGAGTGTTTACTAGGATCTTATCATGTGAACACATGTCTAATTAAAAATTTGAGGCGCAAAGAAAAATCGGTATATATGCAGATTTAGCTATTACATAATGCATCTTTAATATTTACGGGAGATATGTGGCCGTTAGCCTATTTATTATAATTTATGCATTATTTGGTAATAAAAACTTTATTTTATTAACAAATTTAGTATTGTACATGTATATTTAAAATCCGACTAAATGTGATATCGAATTTCCGTATTCATATAAAGTCTTCTTGGTAAACTGCTGGAATTGGCTTAGAATCTGCTTTAACCGATTCTTTCATTGCTGATAAAAACATGTCAACTTTTAATTTGGTTGGATCAGCTTGATGATTATGGATGTTTCTGTAGGTAGTAACCAGGTCATTCCTGGTATTGCAAGTAGCAGGGCATTCACGAACAGTACACCTCCAGTGAATGGTGGCTCCTCTTCTTGTCTTAACACTAAACTTATAATTATCATAAACTAGGCTTCGAGTACCTCTCGAGTTTGGAATGAACCTAACGTTTACCTGTGCATTAGCCATTTTGGAATGACATACACTTTGAACTTTCAACTATTTAATAAACTTTTATCACAAACAGTGTTCCTCGTAATTAAGTATAAAATTAAACTGACATATAAACGAAAAATCAGACAGTGATTTATAGTTCACACATGTCATAGGTTAAATTGAACTGTTCATGCAATAATTAAAACAGAGTATAACTCACTAATCTATAGCTAATCCCTAACCCGCCTAATTAGTAGGGTTAATCTGCTGGGAAAGTGAGAACAAACCAGCCAAAATACTACATTCTAAGCGGAGTTATAGCCGTTAGAAGAGCAGTGTAGTCTCTGTTGTCATTGTTAGCGTTGTTACGATAATAAACCAAGTCTCGGTTATCCATTTGTAGACTAAACCATTAAATAGCAAATTCATTGAAAATCAATTGCGTCCGATGAACAAGAGCGTTGATTATGGGTTAATCTAGCCTTGATGTCTTCATCAAACACCAATATTATATAGTGTACTTATTTAGGTTTGAGAATTTGGGGGAGAGGTTAAGTCTGCACATAAGCACTGACCTAAGATGATGAAAAATTAGTTCGTGATATTTCATAGTTTCCATACCTACGCTAATCCAGGTGGACACGCATAACGTTAGGTTTAGGAGTTAGAGTTAGCGCTAGCCCTGTTTACATGTGACCTCGGCGAAATCTGCAGATATCCTTAATATTTAGATCTGGCCACACCTCTGACACTTGACGAATACTCATGTACGGGTTAACGTCACAAGTACACACGAATCGATGACGTTGCGAAAGGTCCCTATTATGACAAATCCTGATCGTATACCACATTTGAACAAGGCCGAGGACAGTCACACAACCCGGATCTATTATTGGCATCTGCAGCCGCATATAAGGTTGTGCTCAAAGGCATCACACACTTTCGCCTCTGTGTCACAGTGCAATAGTTACTAGATGCATTTTGGACTTCGTACTCCGTAATGCAACCACACTTTTTCAAAACCATATCGGTGACACACCCCATTAGACACCCACGATGCGAATAACGATGAAAGTATTTTAAGTTATTCTTGAAGCTGGAATTTGAGGTCATGCAATCCCCAGATTGGTAAGAATTGTAAGGATACGACAGGTACCTGTATTTCAGGACGGTTATCCTCACATGGTAAGCATGGTCTGGTGAAAGAACAGTGCAGTGAGTTCTCATATCGAATGGTTCATCCGGTGGATGGATGGACAGATGCATTCCGGCTGTGAAAGATTCAAAGGCGTAGTGATCTTGATTTATGTCCACATAAAAAACCAACTCATCGACACCAT